TCCATCCTCAGAACATGTCCTGCCCCTTGCAGTCTTCTTATTTTGATGCATGTTACTAGGTCAGGAAACTTACATAATTCATACAGTTCATGGTCGTATCGTAACCTCCACTGACCATTATCATTCACTGGGTCATACATTTATGAGCAAACGTGGGGAACCGGGTTGTGCGGTTGTTGTAAGAAGTCTCTCTCTTTCATGAGAGAGGGAGGTTCTTCACACCGAACCCGGGACCCTTACGCCAATGGAAATTAATGTTATACCATTCATGGTTGGAGTCTCGATACCGAAGGTGCCAGAGGCAGGCACGTAATTGATAGTTTGACTGAGACATCTTATAAACTTATCTTCTTTTTTACTTCTGTGACTTAATTATGAACGAGTGGTGACAGGACCCGAGATAAGAATCCGCCCACCGACAAGCTAGGACCCAGTATCATACACCCTGAGACGACAGCTCCACGGGGTTACGATCGGTGGACGGTTACACTCTTGGTATACATCTTTCACGGATCTTAATGACTTTTCGAGCAGACGTCATCCGCATATCCTACAATTTGGCTCATCTTAAATTCAAGTGCTCCATTAGCATCCGTCGGTATCTTCCAAATCACATATTCCAATAGGTTAAAAAGCATGGAGGCCAACCCGTCCCCTTGTTTCAGACCTTGTTCAGTCTTGAAGGACGAAGTTCCTTATCATATGGTTTTATCCATCCTTCTGTTTCATTCGCTTTCAGGCTCAAACATCTCCCTCAGCAACTATTTTTCATTCTTCTGTATAAATTCATGTTTAGACTGCATATTCAGTCGAGTTTCCAAACTTAATAATGGAGGAGTCCTCAGGAACAGTAGTTAGAATATGAATGAAACAAATGACGAGCGACGTGCCCTAAACAGTCACGTGGGTGGCAAGCACGGGGTGACGACGGAAGCCCTGGGGCGAACCTCAGTGACGGCAAAGCTATGGATGACGAAAACCAGGGGGTTTGGTACAGAAGAGGATGGCTCATGAGGGCAGAGACCGTGAAACAGAAAGCGAAGGGGCCTAGACCTCACAGAACAAGCATACTTTGGAAAGGCCCGGCTGTTAAAGTCCTCGGAGGTCGCAAACCCAACAAACCTAACCTGACCACTGGTTGGGGGGTGCTCTCTCCAATCGGGTCGTTGTGCCTCACAATTGGTCTCCTCCATCATAACCATGGTAACAAAGGTAGTATGCTAGCTGAGGTGACCAGGGTAACCGTAGTAAATCCGGTAGATATGTAACCATAGTAACTGTGAGAAAGGCATCAAGGTAACCAAGATTTAAATAGTCACCAAGATGGCATTACATTTTAAAGTACTTTTTAGGGTCATCCCCGCTGACCCAACCTCCACATGAAATTTAATCCAAATCCAAGTTTCCAAGTTGAATCAAAGGAACAAACGGGAACAGACAGATGTGACTAGTTTTGTAAGATTTGAGGTTTTCACAGCAGTGAGTATTAAGATTTCTGTCTTCTGGGTTGTTGCGTTGTGTAGTCTGGTCGATGTTTACCAACGTTGCAGAGGTCATACTGCCTCCGTCATCAGGGCGATGAGTATGAAGATTTCTGTCTTCTGGGTTCTTGCGCTGTGTAGTCTGATCGATGTTTACCAACGTTTCAGAGGTCATACTGCCTCCGTCATCGCCCTGATGGAGGCAGTATGACCTCTGAAACGTTAGTTAGCATCGACCAGACTACACCGCGCAACAAACCAGAAGACAGAAATCTTGTGACTAGTTTTATGTGTGTTCATTTCATGACTACGCAAAGAACACAAAATAACCGCACCATTTTTCTCTGTGATGAATTATCTATCACACAACGAGGTTCCATCTGCATATATGACTAAACATCATAGGAAACACAACAATTGTGTCAATATAGTGATTGACTACGGACTAGACGACTGGGGTTCGATCCCCGACGGGGCAGAGCGTTTTTCCTCTAGCCTCTGCATCCAGACCGGCTCTGGGGCCCACCCAGCCTCATGTCCAGTGGGTACCGGGATCCTCTCCCGGGGATAAAGCGCGGCCGGGGCGCGACTCTGATAACTCACCTCGATCTGGTGCCGAGGTTGAGAACGAGTAAGAGCTAAACTACTCTCCCCTTGAGCGCGTGCATGGCGCGTAGCGAGACAGCTTTAATTTGTTTTTAACAGTTGTGTCGAGGCCTGTTTGGGATTGCAGTTCGACTGTGATTTTGCGTTATGAACGGATGCGGCGAGCGATGGAAACCCTCAAAATGTGATCAAAATCAATGCTTCTAGACAAATGATAGCAGAAGATGACCTTTGCTTACATTCTTCCTCAAAAACCCGTTTCGTCAATCACATTCTGTCGACACTTTTAACCAAGGTGTTTGAAAAAGCAAGAATCCATGTATGAAACTTATCTTTACTCTGCTGGTGTACGTCGTCTGTCTGTTTCAGTAATAGAAGTTGCATAATTAATAAATCAGGAGACTTTTCAGCAGGCGGTCCCCCGAAGAGTACTCGTAGTTTTCGATCTGCAATACAAAAAGCAGAGAGAACAAAGACGTGCCCTCACTCGCTCCGTCCCGTGAGAACGTTTCTGTTTTTGTAAGCGGAATTCTCGCCCGCATGGACAGCCCCCCGGTCGACATGGCTCCCGCTTCGTTTCCGCAGATTGAATGATGCTATTTATAATTGTACAGGAAGACAATGAATGGAGAGTAGGTAGGAATCTGGAAGGAGATGGTCGTATAATTCTTATCGCAGTTTTCGAGACTTTGGGACAGGTTAATCAGTGAAGAAAGTGGCTCCGGCCGGCTCAGCAGTTCTGAACTGTGAGTTTACCTACACCTTCATGGCGGCCTAGACACAGATATAACATTGATATGAGGACACTGCTAAGGATAACCGAGATCTGAGCCATGTACCTCCCAGATACAAATACTACAAATCTGCTTTGTGAAACGCATGGAATTGATAAAAAGCTGTAAATATGTTTGATATTGTGGTTGTTTTGATTTGAGACAATCGATATATGTGAGCAGCGAGCAGCCTTCCTGTAGCGGAGTGTTCGTTTTGCTGCAACGCAGTCAATATTTGTGAACTATTAGAAGGCACAGAATGGTTGTCTTCTGGATTGTAGCGCCGTGTAGTCTGGGGGTAGTTTACCAGTGTCTCAGAGGTCCCTGCTGCCTCCATCATCAGGGCGATGAGCCCCATTGCTCTTCTACCAGACTACACGGCGCTACAAACAAGAAGACAGCCATCTTCGTGTTCACCGCAGTGAAAACCTCAAACCCCACTTAAAATTAAGCCTACTGCCAAAACTCGTAAGATCCTGTCCCGCGCAACGTAATAATTACATCGACAGTTTTTTGTTTCTCTTTTTATGGATGAATGTTTGTATTTCTTAGGAGGTAATGCATTAAGAAGTACTGACCAACTTCCATTCTTTACGAGTATTTATATAAAAATGAACGGAATCCTATTTGTACTTCTGCTCAAAACCGTGACGGATTTTAAGTGCACAAATCACCAGCGCTTAAAACTGTTCCCTTATTTCAGATTCGATCTTAATAACTTTTTTTTTTATTATTAGTGTTCTGTCTGACGACAGGTCCATATGAACAGGATCCTTCCATCCTTTTCTCGGACTGGGACCTGTTCATATACGTTCTTGGCAGATGATCCAGAAGTGGTTTGCCATTGCCTTCTTCTGTGTGTGAATGGAGTAATTGTTGGGATGCCACGGAGAAACCGGTGAAGCCCCCGGAGGAAAACTCCGTGTTGCCTAGACCACGGCCTTGCCCAACACAAGTTATAAATTCTGACACCGCCGGGAATCGAACCCGAGACCCCAGGATTACAAGGCCAGCGTTCTGACCGCTAGACCACCGTGGGAAATTATTGTTCTCTGATTTACATGGAAACTTCAGTATTGTTGCTTGTTACACATCATATATATAACAAATTACAGAAACTGAAAAAGTGTTTTGTGTGAAGATGGCTGTCCTCTGGGTTGTTGGTCCATGTAGTCTGGTAGAAGTTTATCAGACTACATGGCGCTACAAACCAGAAGACACCCATCTTCAGATTCACCGCCATTAAAACCTCAAATCCTACGTGTTTTGTGTAACATTCAAGTTTAAGTAATCATTTAACTTTACCCAACCTCAGCTGCCCTAAATGCTTATGAATACATATTTTTTCTACCTAGGCTATAAATTACTCATAAAATTTGATGGATTTATTTAGAGAGATGTTTGTTCTTTCTGTCGCCCTCGGTGGACTAGTGGCTAGCGTGCTCGCCACTGGACCAAAGGTCCCAGGCTTCGTGGTTTCAAATCCGTCACCCACCATGTCTCTCCTGATTCTCTACTAGATGGTTCTAGCAGACACGATCAGGATTGAGTGAGGCAGAACACACTTCGAAGACTACGAAACCTCCAAAAGGAGGCCTCCGAGGCCCATACTGGGTTGTAGAAGGAACTACTGAGAAACGTTTGCCTGATTTATAAGAATGCAGTAATATTGGTTTTGAACAGGTCTCATAAATTAATTTTTGAAAGTGGAGAATTTCGTCTACATTATCGGAGATGAAGTTTGTAGACGTGACATTTCAAACATATTTCGATCATAATGGCATTACCCTGTTGATAGACACTTCAGAAACGTCAGTAAGTTACAGCCAGGCGACATGGCACAAAATCTCAGAAGACGATCCTTGACTTATAATTCTGTTATAGTTTCCCGGCGGGTCGGTAGTGTTGCTGGTAGTTGACGTTGTTACCAACTGAACTCTTCAAAGTGGCTGAAATCAGTTAGTATTTATTACCACCAGATCGCTGACAGTAGTTTAATAACAGGTGCGAATAGATGGCAGAACAATGTAGGTTTGACGTCGTAGGCCATGTGTGTTACCAACTATTAACAATGAGTTATCGAAGTGTATGTTGGTATTATCCGTGCTAGTGGGGTTAGAAATAGGAATTTAAGGTTAGGATTGTGTAATGTGTATGAAATATATTATCGATGTACTCGTGTGCTGTGACTAGTAATCATTACGTAGAAGTGATGTTCTATGAATGGAATTCTATAGGTTAAAATGACGCTTATAGAATATCTCTCGTCGTTGTCGGATAATCCATATTTTGGTGCAGGATTTGGATTATTTGGACTTGGGGCTGGAGCAGCTATACTGAGAAAAGGTTTTCAAGGGTCGCTTATTTTATTCCGTCGTCATTATATGATCACGTTAGAGGTACCATGTCGGGATAAAAGCTACCAATGGCTCCTTCAATGGATAACAGAAAAAGGCGCGCGTCAAACGCAGCATCTCAGTGTTGAAACAAGTTTTGAACAAAAAGACACAGGTCAGATTAAAACGAAGTATGACTTCATTCCCAGCGTAGGAACACACTTCTTTAGGTAACTGTTACTTTGGAGGATATAAGAACTAAGTGTAGACTAAAAGAAAATTTCAAAATCGTGTGAAGCCCTGTAATAAATGGATCTTTTGCAACCCAAACTGTTTTACCATGGAATTCATACAGAGTCCAGATGGACCTTCGTGATCAGAGAATATCATGCTGTGTGTAAAATTTGTCATATGTTCTGCTGTCCATATATATTCTATTTGTCTTCAATACATTTAATAACTAATATTAGATACGGATTTTTATATTTAAGCTTATCTGAGTTTGTTGGGCTGCTCAGATCCCATATACATTTGTGGATGTGAAGTTAATTTTCCTTATATTTTATTTTTCTTGTGTTATATGTTTGTATTTTGTTGTTGATTGGTATGTGTAACTTTTTCCATACGTTATAAAGCAGGGTCTCCTAAGCTCAAGAAGGACTCGTGTATAGTGGAGGTGTAGTTTTTCATTGGCAAGATCAAGATGGATTTAATTGATGTGAAATAACAATGAATGTAAAAGATAGTCTTGGTTACTATAAGTGACATTGTGATTGGGGACATGGATTTAATTTGTCAGACTCAGGACAGGAACCAGTTGCAGGCTCTTGTGAACATAATAGTAAACCTTTGGGCAATGTAAGAGGCAGGCAATTTGTTGATTACTCATTGTTTCTCAAGGACTCTGCTTCTTCCTGTTAATTAATAATAGTGAATTATGAGGATTAGTTTTAAGGTGACTGTTTTCTATGCAAAATGTGTTATAATTTATTTAGTTTTGTGAATGATTATGTTGATTATTTTTTAGATTATATTTAGTGATCATGTTGTAGAAATCTGTAGACACTGTTATATCCAAGTGATGCTGATAAATATCATTTGTCTGTGTAAAAGTGTTTCAACCAAAGTATTACAGTCCCAGTGAAACTAATAAAACATTAAGAGTGTGGTCTTCTGGGTTGTTGCACTATGTACTCCAGGCCTGAAGATGGAGGCTGCACATTCTTCTGAAACCATAGTATACATCTCCATGGTGCAGCAATGCAGCAGACCAAAATCTAAATTTGCTTTGTCATGAAAACTGAAAAGCTAACATAAACTTGACTGAAAATTGCTTACAGAATAGTAAAAATTAAATAATTCAAATGAAACCTAAAAGATATAATATATCTTTGATAAATGATACTTTGGTAACTAGTGACTTTTATCTTATACAGTAGATTCCAGTTAATTGGGCCAGCCATTTATTTGGAACAGATCTTAAAGAACAAACCTTTTTAACTCTTCGTGGAACTTTGCATAATTGGGGCAGCCACCTAATTGGGCCAAAGTGTTCTTGTCCCAATGTGTCTCAATTAACTGGAATCCACTGTATTATGATCTGTAAATAATTCTGCAAAATGCTTGTTTCACCAATCATGTTACACAAGACTTGATTAACAGGAATTTGAGAGCATCAGAAAATCAGAGTTACTTACTAATGAGTAACTTGCTCCATATTAAAATGAAATGCACTTTTGGATTGTGTTAGGTGAAGCAGTAGAGGCTGTTAAAAATATAGTCTATGGGTTCTGAGATAGGCATCCCAATAACATGCCAGTTGATGGAATCACTACATGAAACATGATCTCCCCTCATGAACATTCCCAGAATATGCCAAGCTATGCCATAGCTAACAAAGGTTCCCTTTGAGACCCAGTTGCACAGTAGCACAGTCTCAGTGCCTGGTACACTTTATTTTGATAGTATTACAATGGTCTTTGATGGTTGCATATTATTGCTGTGCATTGTTGGTGATGTGAAGGTCCTTAAACACCAGTGATAGTTGTCCATTGCTGTCAAAGAAAACAAAATGACCTTCCCTGCATATGATTAAGAGATGAATTAATCAGGGCAGAGAGAGGACTGGTGTCTTCATTATACAGGTTGAAAGTCGTGGCGCCACGTCTGTTTGCCTGCCATAGTCCATCACAAAAATGCATATGCCATCAGCCTGATAGCACTGTATATTCTTCAACAGTAGTGCCATCTGCAACCCAGACCTGTCACCATGTGTTTTCGCCAGCTCAGCAGAGCACTAAAGGCCCCTAGATTCTGGATGGATGAAGATGTGAAGCCCATGGTGGTACAGCAGTCCCAGAAGCAGCCCATTTATTTATTTTTAGAGGGGGTTGATGAGCTGGTGTGTTACTGGGGTGCCTGCCTCAGTCCCATAGGGACTATTCTTAATAGCCTCTACTCTTTTACCCAGAACAGTCCGTGGATAGAAAACATTTGAACAACCCTCATATCAATGTAACTGAACTCATACTCATAATTCTTAAAGTAACTGTATTAATTTATCCAACCGAATTGTCCACACTTTACAGCAGTTTGACGTCATGGTTTTATCACATTGCAGGTATGGAGGAACTTGGGTGCGTGTTGAACGCACAAGGGAACAGCAGACACTTGACCTGCATATGGGGGTACCATGGGAAACTGTAACTCTTACTGCACTTGGAAGAAATAAGCAGATGTACTTCAGTATGCTGGAGGAAGGTATGTGGACTACTTTTGATTTACAGAATATACAGTGTGTCCATAAAATAATGGTGGGGTAACAAACTGTCATAGTTTTCGAACAAAGCACGATAGAGGCATGAAATAAACATCAAAATAAAGAGAAACTGTCTAAGAATCTTACCTGTAATGAATGGGAATTTCATTTTTTATTTATGAATTTAATCTTATGAACAGTTTTCATCAAACAAATTATGTTTGTAAATCAAGGAATGGGTGTTCTGTAAAGGTTAAATGTTTGTGGTTTGATCCTAACCACTGCTAATAATTACAGTTGTGTGTTGAATTATGAGAATTTCAAATCAAGTTCCTATAGCAAACAAATATAAACTCAGGAAATGTAAAGAAAAATCAGTAAGTAACAAATGGATTTATTTAGAATGAATGAAATAAGAACATGCATACAGTTATATACAAAATTTGCCCACTCACATGGTTAAGATTGTGGTAATTATTACATTTGTTAATAACATTTATATTGATGGTTGTATGAATGGATTCATTAAATCATTACCATTATTATAATAGAGCTCTACTAGTGGCAAGTAGTGGGTGCTTCTCATGTAGGGGCAGATAAAGTAACTGGTCAGGGGCTGGAAGAACAGAGTTTGTTTACCACCTTGTCCAACATAATGGGTGCTGTGGGCTCTTCCCCATGGATACAGCAGTGAGACCTTGAAGTTGATGACTCATCTCCTTGTACTGCTGGGCTAAGAATGTGTGCAGCATTATCATGCCCCTATAAATCCATGGTGTGTGCATGTGTGCTATTTCATTATGTCTGCCACTTTGGCAGCTGTGAAACACAAGATGAAAGTCAGAATAGTTCACTTTAAAAGAAAGATATTTATGAAGTTTTATTATAAGTGTGTGACATTTGTCCAGCTAGACAGATGGCACTAAAGAAGCATGAAGGCAAGACCATCATGTATACAGCAATGGGTTCAGAGTGGCGACAGTTTGGTCACCCACGTAAACGTCGGCCAATCCAGTCTGTGGTCCTGGACACTGGTGTAGCAGAAAGAATATTGTGTGACGTGAAGGAGTTCCTTGCAAATCCGAGCTGGTACAGTGACAGAGGTATGTTTGGCTATATTGATCCTTGGGCCACTGCATGTCCCATGCTAAGCACTTGCCGCAGTGTTCAGACGTAACATGTACTTACTGTCCTAGTTGGGCTTGGTGCGTGGGTTAAATGAATAGTACATATGAGCACCATCTGTTACCTGCCAGACCAAACTAATGAAGCAGATGATAGTGATCATATCATACTCTTCATTTCTTTTTCAGTTCTATGGAAAATCTAAACTTTCTACATATTGCAGCTAAAACAAAGGTGCTGTTTCTTCCAGCTCAGTCCCATTCAAGATGGCTGACTCTTTGTGACCTATTGCATTTGACTCTGTGTCTGGTCATGTTTCATTGTTGATTTTTCATACGATGGCACAGAAATTCTCTATACGTGTATAAATGGGCTTCTAAAGGTAGTAAATTTTATGTTGGAGGTTTCTTGCTTTTCAGTTTCATGAAGAAGTGTTGGGCAAAATTGTGACTGAAACAGATTGTTATGCTGCTTCTCACATTCATCTGAAACTAAGAATGAATAATTGGAGAGATGTCACAAGGGATGAATTGTATGTTGTTTCTGGACTTAGATGGCAGTGGGTATCAAACAGAAACCCACCATTAAATCATATTTCAGTAATGACCCATTTTTAGATTGTTATATAGTGGATTGGGCGTCTGCATTCTGGTTTTGTCTAATATCCTGGTTTCAGAATTGATTCCTTTGGGTTATTTCTCGCTCTTAATAAAAGCTTAACCTTTGCTGCCTGTTACCTGCTTATAGCTGTCTTAAGTACTGTCCATATTTCTGCCCCAAAACTTAACATACATAGTTCACTAGAGAGAGAGAGGTGGTGATGTTTATTTCTGTTTGCTTTTCTTTGTTAAAACTGTGGGTCTCACACTAATCAGGTATCCCATATCGCAGAGGCTATTTGTTGCATGGACCACCAGGCTGTGGTAAATCATCATTTATCACCGCACTGGCCGGCGAACTGGAGTTTGGTATCTGTGTGCTGAACTTGAGTGAACGAGGCTTGACGGATGACCGCCTGAACCATCTCTTGAGTGTAGCTCCACAGCAGAGCATCATTCTGCTGGAAGATGTGGATGCAGCATTTGTTAGCAGAGAAGAGAATGCTCAAAGTAAGAATTAGTGACTGTACCAGGCATGAGTATGCTGTGATCTGTGAACCCGTAATGGTTTCCATTAAAACTAGGCTTGTGTGAATATGTTTGTTAAATTTGTCATTAGCTGTTATGTTACTATAAACTGTGTGCTCTTAGGTATGTAGTATTCTCTTGCAAAGAGGAAGTCCAGTTTAGGGAATTCCTTAATGCATTTACAAACCCAACTATTATGAAAGCAGGTGGTATTATGCAGAAGTACCCAAGTAGTTTGTAAGCATTTGTTTTGGCTGTCTGCTGAGTTGTAGTGCCATGTGGTCTGGTAGAAGTTACAGACATTTCAGAAGTCCTTGCTGCCTTCATCATCATGGTGATGAAAAGTTGGTAAACTTCTTCCAGACTACATGATGCCACAACTCAGAAGACAGCCAACACTTAATTCACTTTGCAAATGTCTGTCCATAGGTATGCTCCTCAGTTTCCAGCTGCAATACTTCACTCTTTAAAACTGTTGCTTACAAACTTGGGTACTTCTGAAAAATGTCATAATACCACCTGCTTTGGTAATAGTTCGGGTTGTAGATTGCATTTGGACTTATCACTGTGAAAATCTCAAGTCCTACTTAGAATTAAATGTTGACATTGATAACATCAGAATGGTTATTTCTGACCTGATGAAATGCAAATAGTGCCAGATATCATTAATGGTGACTGGTTTAAAACTGAGAAAGAGCTCCGAAAGGAGCGCGTTGCTCTAGTGTAAGCAAAATTCAGCAGCCATTTCTGACCCAAGTCTCTCCTGATTCACTGCTAGATGGCTCTGGCAGTCAAATCAGGAGAGAGTAGAAATTGTGCAGAGTCGGTGGGCTGGTCACTCACTATTCTTAAATACACGCTTCAAAGACTATGAAACCTCCGGAAGTAGGCGGCGATAACCTGCTACTGGGTTATTCTACTAATAGATAGATAGAGTAATACTGACTGATTTTTTGCACGTTTTTTCTTTCAGTAAAAGCAGCGTATGAAGGTTTAAATCACGTTACTCTCAGTGGGCTTTTGAACTGTTTGGATGGTGTAGCTTCCACAGAGGCTCGTATTCTATTTATGACAACTAATTATATAGACAGGTAAGTTTGAGTTCTTTCTACTCATTTGTTTTATGACACATTTCAACAGCATATGTTGTATAGTATTGATCGAAGTGTATTTGACAGTGTTTATTGACTGCAGAGGTTATGTAGCAATGGATGATCAAGTTAAGTGAACTTGAAAGGAATGAGGAAGCAGTTGTACATATGCACGTGTGTGCGCACACACAAGTTAGATGACAAGCGGATGTGGAATAAGTAATAATAATACAATACATTTTATAAAGATGTTACATAATATTAACAAAGGGTTCACATAAAGTTGTGATATGCTATAATTACATCCGCCCATTACATAAGGTAGATAAATTATACTACTTAAAGACAAGAAAACCCAAGGAACATTATGACTAATCTGTAAACATTAGAAATTCAGCAACAGATGAAAAGGAATGTGTAATTAAGTATATTTTTACTGCAAAGTTGAAGGACATTTTCTGGTGCAGTGTAAGTTGTATTTGTTATGTTCCTGTTTATGTCCTTGTGTCATCAAGGTAACAGACATTGTATACACACACCACAGTAGCTTGTGTTATTCTGTTGCTGAAATTAAAGATAAGGATCTGGTCATGTTACAGCCTATGACATTCACGCAGGCATGAACGCAAGCATTTGTAGGCCCGTATATTGCCACTGCATTACAAATGTTGAGTGATCTTTTAGGTTTTCCTTTTGCTTTCAAGTTAGAGCCCTCACCTGTTGGATGTGATATTACTATTCTGATCTGTGTGGGTATCTTCTAGATTTCTGTCTTGAAAAGACTCTTTTAAATGTTAGAACTAATTCCCATTTAATGATAAACATTAACTTCACATATTTGTGTGTAGATTTTTTCTTTATTCACAGAATGGAAATGGTGCATTGAAACAATGAATGTTCACTTTATCATTGCCAGTTATGCTTATTTATGCAACAAGGCAAAACAGGTTCCCATGTGTAATGGTGGTAACCTGAAGTGGCATAATTTTGTAGCTCTCATTAATTCATATAATTAATTAATTAATATAATTTTTTTTTCCAACTTCCGAATGACATTAGCAGTTGTACACACCCACAGGTCTTCCTTTTCCTCAAAATTTCTATTACATTACCGAGTTTGATATATACGAGGGTCGCTCATTAATTAATGCCCCACATTTTTTTTCTTAGCCAATAATGAAGATAGAAAAGTGTACTTTTACATGCTTGAAATTTGATGTTTCCCGCGTTCATGTACAGAGTTTCAAATGATTCCAACAGATGGCGGAGCTGTAGTGAACTGTTAAAATGGTGTCTGTGTACGACTCTAATTACAAACAACGAGCTGTAATTGAATTCTTTGTTGCAGAAAAAAAAACTGTGGTGAACATTCATAAACATTTGTGTGCTGTGTATGGAAGCTGTGTAGTCGATAGGAGCACCGTTGGTCGCTGGGCTGCGAGATTTAGAGCTTACAAGTTGATGGGGGACTATGTAGAAAAATAGTATGTGTAAAGGAAACATTAATTTATATTGTCACTAAATTTCAGCCAACTTGAATAAATATATTCTGAGGAAAAAATGTGGGGCATTATTTAATGTTTAGCCATTTGCATGTGGATGTAGCTGCTTAAGTGGTTTATATCACGGGCCCTATGGAGACAGAAAACCTTTAAAGCGTCTTATACAGTGTTTATGCAGACTTAGGACAGTGTCTGATAATTATTTTGCGTAAGTATTTTGAATGGTTTATGGCATTTTTCTAACATTGTGGTCTGAAATCTTCCAAAGGTTGGATGCAGCTCTCATTCGTCCAGGCAGAGTTGATTTGAAGGAGTTCATCGGTTACTGTAGCCACGAACAATTGGAATTAATGTTCCTTCGTTTCTATCGGAGTGAAGGGTCAGCAGCTCTTTCAGCATCATTTGCAGACTCTGTTCTTAAATTTAATAAAGCTGTTAGTCCTGCCCAGATTCAAGGATATTTCATGCTTTATAAAGAAAATGAACAAGAAGTTCTTAAAAATGTGGCAAAAATATGGACGCAATCTTAGGAGTCGGTGATAGTGCATACATTTTCTTACATTCTATAATGTAGACTGTGAACCTGCAGTACGTTGTCAGTTTTAATAAAATTGAGTCTTAGGGATTATTGTGTAAGATTTGAGGCTTTCACAGCGGTGAGTATGAAGATTTCCGTCTTCTGGGTTATTGCGCTGTGTAGTCTGGTCGAAGTTAACCAACGTTGCAGAGGTCATACTGCCTCCGTCATCAGCGCCCAGAAGACGGAAATCTTTTTAGGGATTATTTTAATCGCAGTCAGCCCTTTTTTCTTCAGAAAAAAAAACTGTGGTGAACATTCATAAACATTTGTGTGCTGTGTATGGAAGCTGTGTAGTCGATAGGAGCACCGTTGGTCGCTGGGCTGCGAGATTTAGAGCTTACAAGTTGATGGGGGACTATGTAGAAAAATAGTATGTGTAAAGGAAACATTAATTTATATTGTCACTAAATTTCAGCCAACTTGAATAAATATATTCTGAGGAAAAAATGTGGGGCATTATTTAATGTTTAGCCATTTGCATGTGGATGTAGCTGCTTAAGTGGTTTATATCACGGGCCCTATGGAGACAGAAAACCTTTAAAGCGTCTTATACAGTGTTTATGCAGACTTAGGACAGTGTCTGATAATTATTTTGCGTAAGTATTTTGAATGGTTTATGGCATTTTTCTAACATTGTGGTCTGAAATCTTCCAAAGGTTGGATGCAGCTCTCATTCGTCCAGGCAGAGTTGATTTGAAGGAGTTCATCGGTTACTGTAGCCACGAACAATTGGAATTAATGTTCCTTCGTTTCTATCGGAGTGAAGGGTCAGCAGCTCTTTCAGCATCATTTGCAGACTCTGTTCTTAAATTTAATAAAGCTGTTAGTCCTGCCCAGATTCAAGGATATTTCATGCTTTATAAAGAAAATGAACAAGAAGTTCTTAAAAATGTGGCAAAAATATGGACGCAATCTTAGGAGTCGGTGATAGTGCATACATTTTCTTACATTCTATAATGTAGACTGTGAACCTGCAGTACGTTGTCAGTTTTAATAAAATTGAGTCTTAGGGATTATTGTGTAAGATTTGAGGCTTTCACAGCGGTGAGTATGAAGATTTCCGTCTTCTGGGTTATTGCGCTGTGTAGTCTGGTCGAAGTTAACCAACGTTGCAGAGGTCATACTGCCTCCGTCATCAGCGCCCAGAAGACGGAAATCTTTTTAGGGATTATTTTAATCGCAGTCAGCCCTTTTTTCTTCGCCCCTCATTGATATTTTTACTACACAGTTCAGCGACAAATCGTGTCGAAAGAGGTAGTCATTCTACCTTAGATTCGTTTTGAATCGAGGTTACGTGTGTTAATATTATTATATGTCCATATATTGTATGACTTAGGAGCCGATGGACAGAAATTATCAGTAATAATTTTTTTATCGGGTCATAAACATGATTTTTCTGTAGGACGTTACAAATAAAGGATCTGACAACGAAAATAATTATTTCGACCGTATTGTTTTAGTGTTAGTTGTTTACATTGTACTTCGTGATCTCAGTGGAAACAGCTGTAGGGCTGTGTATTAAACTGTTTACAGTTACGCTTTTATAAATTGATATTAAATACCCAAAGTTTTAACAACTGTGCAGTTTCACAAGTTTTTGAAGGAGCTGAACGCGGGGTAGCGCCGTGGATTTGCAGGTAGATACTTTCCGGAGGAACATACTTCTTTCATCTTTCAGGTATCACAACCCAGAAAACCTAGATAAACATTTTTAGTGAGAATCTCAAATCTCATGTTGCGAGATTATATGATTTTTGTCTTATATTTTAAATGGACCCGCGATCAAATTTGAGTTAGCAATCTGGAATAATGGTATATTCAAAATTTATTATCTGAACAGGAGAATCAGATATTCAACTGCGCTTTTATGAGGTCCCCATTCGTTTGGAAAGAAGGGTTTGAAGGCCTCTGACTCCGAGTTCAATTGGAACCCACGCCTGCCTCGGTGATGACTCCGCGCGACCTCCTTGATTAGCCAATTTAAGCGTCAAATGTGTGCGAGAGCGAGATGGTTAGGAAAGACTAACAGTTCATATTCCTTGTTACGTACTGTTACTGCTTGTACCCCGGATCTCAAAAGTACATCCCATGGAGTAATTTAATCCGGTCCGCGAGCTTGCAGTAAGTCTTAAAACTTTGTATACAGAATTTTCCTTACTAATCGTAACAGTCAAGTTTTACAGGAATTAAAGTGGGACAAATGAAGTACCCGTAAATGTGCTTGATATTCATTGCAGTTGTGTCCAATTTATGACTGATTACGCATCATATCCAGTAAAAATAAAAGTTAGATGGGAAATATTGTGTAAGTTTCCGCAAAATCGTAATTTACCCAATTCATAATATTACTTTTAGACACGAAAATAACCTACATCTGTAGCTTGTGTTGAACCCCTAGATAAAGGAACAATTGACATTCATAGTCCGGCCACCCAGCGTAGTTTACTGACCAATAGCTCGGTTGTGTACAAATTTGGAGACCCCTGGTTTAATAGGTACCTCATATCCAGCGTATAACTTGTGGAAAGTTTATGATGTTTTATTAATACTATCACACTACGAGACGTTTATTTTTTAATTTATTCAAAACGCTGAATTAATGTAGGATAATGCTAACGCGTGTCTGAGGTCTAACCTTTAAGGATGAGGACCGGACTCTGGACAAAATTAAGCATGTCCTATATAAGCAGAAGGTTTTGGAAGTCGTACAAGAACATAAATTCAGAGGCCTAATGTTCAGTCATGTAGTGCGGGTAGCAGCGATGGTTCGTTATCTTGAAAATGTTTAAACTAAAAATGCTCTCCTTCATCAGAAAATTATTGCTAATGGCTGAATTTTGCTTAAGAAACATCTCGTTCGTGCTCGTAAGGTTCCTTTACGCGCCGTAAATATACGTCATGTCACCGCCGGCTCTACTTCCCCTCCAGAGGAAGCTGTGCTATGGAT